GGCAGGGAAGGCAGACTCCAAAACACTTTTAATAATCCTCTATTTTTTAAACATGTACATCTGGGCTGAGGTGTGGCTCAAGTAGTCCAACACCCACCTAGCAAGCACAACGTCCTGAGTTCGAATCTATCTATCTATCTATCTATCTATCTATCTATCTATCTATCTATCTATTTGAAGAGCACATATCTATATTAGCAAAATTAGATTATGGATGTAGACTATGGATAATTTTTAACTTAATTTTCCAAGTTTTCTTTAATGTTTGCCTGTTATTTTCAAAATTAGAAAGCAGATAAGTACAGAGAACTCTGATAATGTCAATAGCTTCCTTAAAATTCTGAATTAGCTCTGTGCTGGCAGGATGTGTCTTAAAATGAGGTACCAGCCCATCCCCCTCTAGCCCTTTGTCGCTGTCTCATGCCACAGAGGAATGGTTTCCAAAGGCTAGAGGGCATCTGAATTATGGGCCCCAGCCCTAGGATTTTTGATAGTATACATCTGGAAGGAGGCCCAAAAAGTTACATTTGACAGTTTCTAAAAATTATTGTAGGAAAATATATGCCACTTTTAAGTGTACAAGTATACTTAAGTACATTAAGTGGTATATTGTGTAACCATCACAGTTATCTACTTCTTTGTCATGATCCCTAACAGTAACTATACATTAAACAATAGCCACTCCCCTTTCTTCATCCCTGGCCCTGATAAGCCTCCAATACACTGTCTGCTCCTATGAATTTGCCTTGGGTTTGGCTTACTTCAAATGATGTGTCCTTCCTCAAGATCCATCCATGCTGTACATACTTCAGAATTGTGTCAAAAGGCTACATTTTAATTACCCACTAATGTACTGATGGATACTCATGCTGTTCCACCTCTGGCTGTCGTGAATAGTGCTGAGCACTAGTGACCAAGTATCTGAGTCTTTTGGCTATGCACCTAGAAGTAGGATTGCTAGGTAACATGTAATTCTGTTTAAGGTTTTGATAAACCACCACACTGTTTTACACAATGGCTGCATCATTCGATATTCCCACATACAATGGACCAGGGCCCCAGTTTCTCCATATTCTGGCCTACACTAGTTTATGTGTGTGTGGGGGCGGGGGGTGCATAGGCATGTGCACTGGTACTAGAGTTTGAACTCAGGGCCTTCTGTTCCACCTACTCCCTTATGCTATCACTTGAGCCATGCCTCTAGCCTGGCTTTTTGCTGGTTCCTTTTTGGAGATGAGGTCGTGAGGACTTTTTTGTCTGGTTCATCTATAAGGATCTTTCAGATCTCAACTTCTTGACTACCTATGGTGGCAGGCATGAGCCACCAGTGCCCAACTCAATTTTCTTTTAAATAATACCCGTCCTAATGGTGTGAAGAGCTAACTTATTAGCTTCAATCTGCATTATTTTCAATACTGAACTAGGAGAATGGTTGACAAAGCAACACTGATTAAAAAAAAAAAGTAGAGCTTTTACACTGCACCAGTCCTTCTGCCTGGAATCACCCCCAACTTTCTCTACTGGCCCTCAGTCAGTCTTTGACATGGATAGCTTAAATATCATCAGGAAACCTTCTTGGAACCTCTTGATAAGGCTGGTGGATCTCTCAGAACTTCTGAGGCTCAGGACCCTAAGACACTGGAGGGCCATTCCCTCAGTAAGGTGTCACTCTCCTAGCCAAGACAGTAAAAAACAAAATTGCATGTTGGAAATGGAGATGACGTCACCCTTGAATATCTCAAGGATGTAGAGGTGGGCCCACAGTATATCTCCATTGACTTCACCAGCCTGGTTCTTGCTGTAACTGTAAAGAACCTGCAGAATCATCATTCTCCTGAGTTCTATGTGTACAAAGGGTTTGCAGGTGGCTGGGAGTGTGAAGAGCTTAGCTGTGGATCACATGCTGATGCCAACTAGAAAGCAACCACTGTGGAAGAACAAAGTCCTGAGCAGCCCAGCAGACTAAATTACATGGATAGTTAACTTGAGCCAGCCATCAGTACTGACCCCAGAGCTACCACAATGGGCAACCTGAATAGGACAGTTATGAAGGTAGAGATGGAACCCACTGTGATCCACATCATAGATTCTCACTTCTCACAACCAATCCAGCTGCTGTTATCTGTCAACATCTACTGTTGGAAATGGTGGCAGATGCTGAACCTCCAACATGGCACTGCTAACAAAGAAAACAACCAATTAGTTGGTGACAAGCTGACTTGATGCTCACAGTAGACATTTTTTCTACATGGGGTTTGCCTTTCTGTAAGCCCAGCCACAGCAGCACCATGATCCTGCCCAAGTTTGCTTTCTCTTGTCTTATCTCTGCAGGCATTGCTGTGTCTCCACATTTGCCTCTTGCAGGACCTGACTGCCTCACCTGTCCACTTTCCTTCCACTCAGGAAATTATCTGGAAAAAAGAAACAGAAGAAGTGGATTTGGAGACCAGAAGACAGAGTAAGAAGGCTGGAGTCAGTGTACTGATAAAGTGTATCAGGATTTTTAATGGTGGGTCAACAAGCCACAATACCAACAGAGGGTCATCCGCTTTCCTTTCCCTTTCTCAACCCAGTACACACCCAGCCAGTAACTTTTTCAAGTCATTTTAAAGTCTTTAGGCAAAGAGATTTAAAATGCACAATCAAGCATTAAAAATATTTTCTACAGTAAAATAAAAGCATTAATAAAAATTGCCATATTCTATATTAAATATACTAAAATATTGACAGTTTTATAAATAAAATCATTGTAAACAAGCCATACATGATGACAAAATTTCTTCAATACAGGTTATCTATAAATCAACAACTAGCTTTGAAAACATAAAAATCTTACATGCCCTTTATAAAGTACCAAAATTCATTTTATAAAATTATTAAAACTTAAAAAGTTTTAGAAATACTTCCATTTTTTTCCATTTTTAAAGAAACTATAGCATAATAGCGGACCTTTTTATTTTTTTAAGTTGAAATACATTATAATACTCATCCTACAGTGCCTAAAAACACTTCTGAGACTTGCAGACACGGGGAAAAGCTAGGAGCGGAGTCCCAGACCCGCCAAGCTTTGCTGTCTACCCTGTGCTACTACCAACCTTTATTCTCAGAACCCCAAGCCTCCTTCCTGACCCTTCTCTAGAAAGCCTGTCATGAGTGATTTTCTAATTTCCAGAAGTTCTGAAAGAATTCTGATCTTTAAAATCCCGTGCCAAAATTAAATGAATGACTTATTTTAAATTTGAAGTTAGCCCGGCGCTGATGGCTCACACCTATAATTCTAGCTACTTAGGAGGCTGAGAGCTGAGGATCCTGATTCAAAACCAGCTGGGACAGGAACCTCCGTGAGACTCTCATCTCCAATTAACCACTAGAAAACCGGAAGTGGTACTGTGGCTCAAGTGGTAGAACGTTAGCCTTGAGCTGAAGAGCATCGGGACAGTGCCCAAGCCCAGAGTTCAAGCTCCACAACTGACAACCTTCCCCTCCCCCCCAAAAAAAAGGAATTTAATACAAAAAACCATGGATCTATTCCTAATGAATTAGGGCTCTTCATTTGGTCACATGATTTCATGTCACTTGTTGAGGTAGGACAATTTTTTCTTCCTCTGAAGACTGTGCCGATTACATAAATGGTGGCTGTACTGGAAAGGGCTCTAATGCTTGTTCCACATTCTTCCAGTTGTGAAAATTCTCTCTGTACCATTCAACTGATAGAACAAAAAACAAACAGAAAAACAGAAAATAAAAAATCTAAAACCAAATGTCAATCAAGGTTACTGAGTTCTCGTTATATAAGAAAATTCTTGCCCCTCAAAACCCATCAGCAGACCTGGGCTAAAGAATCTGGTTTTTAACTTGACAATGATACTAATCAGAAGACCTTTTATAACCTGAAAACGTTAGAATTAAAACCACCTTTTTTTTTTCTGTTTCACTTCAAAAATCCTCCAATATTGAAACTGTTGATTTAAATGCAGAAGACATTCTGATTTCAGGGAATTCAAAGTGAGGGAAAAGTCATTTGTAGTGGTTTTTAAAGTTTTTATTTAAAAAATATGGTTTATATAAATATGATAGCACTGCATCAGAGGCAGAGTATGTTGATGTAAGCTTCCTTCTACTATGTGAAATTATTTTGTTCAATACTATCAGTAAAAACTTTTTGAATTAAAAGAAAATTAACAGTTATATGTTGCCTTTGATTTTTTTTTTCTCAGCTCTTCAACTCAAGGCTAGCGCTCTACCACTTGAGCCACAGCACCACTTCTGGCTTTTTTCTTTTTGTTTATGTGGTGCTGAGGAATAGAACCCAGGGCCTCATACATGCAAGGCAAGCGCGCTACCACTGAGCCACCTTCCCAGCCCCTGCCTTTGATTTTTATTTTCAGTATTTGACTGAAGTATTTTGTATTTCAAGATCCAAATCATCAATTGTCTTCATTTGTGTAGATGTTTTCTAATAAGTACATGTCTAAATAGAATTCTAAAATACACGCAGACTTTATACTTTTCTTCATGGATTTTCCAAATAAATTGAATTTGTTTTATATTTGTTTCTTTCAATATAATGTAACTCAAGACACTCAAAGACAATTGCAGCTTATATTTCATCAAATTTTAGGAACCACACACCTGAAATTGGATTCATATTTATAGAAAATGAAAGAAGAAAAAAGCTACAATAATAAATATAAGGTATCAATGATTACATTACACAAAACTTTCTAGGATATAAGAAGGTATAAAAATGTGCACTTCAGAATCAATGAAATAGGCATTTGATTAATACTAATATAACACAAAAACTGATGCAGTTAGTCTATGAATTTCAAAGTACTCAGAAATATGTTGTGTAACAATTTAAGAAGTACAAATGATTTACTGAAAAATTTTATATAGTGTTTCTAACAATGAAATACTTTCATGTTTTTCTGATTGCTCCTAAAGTGATCAAATTTTAACCTACTTGTTTTCTTTATTCCTTCATTCCAAGGCACTTTAGGTTTCCATCCTAAACCGTGAATCTTTTCTGACTTCATTGGATATCTCATGTCATTGGTAGGTCTTAGGGAGAAAAAAAAAGAATTAAAATGACGTTCTGGATATATGTCCACATATTTAACACTGAGAGGTATGTTTGTGTTCATGAATATCTACAATAATTCATTTTTTTAATTAAAAAAGAAAATCTCTCTGAGCCAGGTGCTAGTGGCTCATGTCTATAATCTTAGCTACTCAGGAGGCAGAGATCTGAGGACTGCAATTTGAAGTCACTGGGGCAGGAAAGTTTATGATACTCTTATGTCCAGTTAATCACCAAAAAAGCCAGAAGTGGAGATGTGGCTCAAGTGTAAGGGTTGTGGAAAAAATAAAGCTTAAGGACAGTGCCCAGGCCCTGAGTTCAACCCCCAGGACCAACACAAAAAATAAACAACCAAAATAAATCTTTGAAGGCATAGTCAATGCTGAGTATTAAAAACAAATTATAAAATATATAGTTTATAAAAATCTATAATGCCCAATACCTAACTTTCTCTGGGGTTTATTCTTATAAATAGTTACAATTTTAAATATAAATCTAATGTCTGATACTTAATAAATGCTTAATGAGTGAAAAAACAAATACATATAACTTAGGAGTTTTAAGTGTCAGGCCCTAGGCCAGGCACATTATTCCCATTGTAATTAAACCTTAGCATACTCATGTAAGCAAGGTATTATTATCCCTCTTTCACAATGGAGGAAGCCTCACACTTCGAAAGGGCCAATAACTTTCTTTAAGTGTCACAGCTAGTAACAGTGCTATCCTTAGTCTGTATGATGTTTATAATTAGGGAACAATTTACTAGAAAATTCAAAAGAGATAAACTAGTTTTCAGGTAAGTCCATAAAATTTATAATTTTACACTAAGATTTCACAACCTTCCCCCAGTGTTTTAACTTGTTACTCACCTATCATTAACATAATCAACCCAATTTTCCATTTCAGACTCTGAATTTGTCTCTTTGATCTGTCAAAATGAAGAAAAAGCTTTTGAGTCAAATTATAAAATGAGACCAGAGAATAACAATGGTATTTAAGGGCTGATAAAAACAGTGAAGAAAGACAACTGCCTCAAGCACAGGAGACGCCAAAAACACTTTCTATACCTCATAAACCACATTCCATATGAAGTGCAGAAGAGAATATGCAGGATATAAACTACAGGAGAAAATGTATTTTCCTGCTTTTTGCTTTAGGTTATATATATATATATATATATA